GCGCTGATCCGATGGCAGGAGCCAGGTACTTATCCTGGTCTCCCATGGGGTGCAGGGCCCAAGCACTTGGGCCATCCTCCACTGCACTCCCTGGCCACAGCAGAGAGCTGGCCTGGAAGAGGGGCAACCGGAACAGAATCCCAGAATCCGGCACCCCGACCGGGACTAGAACCCGGTGTGCCAGCGCCGCAAGGCGGAGGATTAGCCTAGTGAGCTGTGGCGCCGGCTAGTTTTTCATAATACATATTTTCCATGGATTTTTTTCCTCATATTTTCATCCTGTTCTCATTCCAATCTTTGACAATTGGAAGCAAATTCTCAATAAATACTTCCTACCTCTCAATAAATATTTGTTGAAGTAAGGCCCCAGATGTGTTGGCCAGTGGTGATATGATTATAAGATCTTGGATTAAAAATAGGAACAAACATTTGACTGTAATACTGGATAAGAGGATCAAATCAGAGTAAGTATATTTAGCAGTGTATAGTGATTACTTTAAACCCTAAAGAAACAAAAGCAAGGAAAGGTTCAAATATTACTCTAGGATGTCCTTGCTATCCAACTGAGTTTTTCTAGTGGTGCCATCTCCCACTGTGACAGAAAAGCTTAAGCATGGGGAGATGGTGTCAGGAGGAAAAACGTAGGCTTAAGTCATCACTGGTTTTAGGATTCCACTGTAAAGAGCCATAGAAACAGAAATAACTGCAGCACAGGGGACAATGAATAATTCTGTGGCTGTTGTTTGTAGAGTGAAGCCATGGATCAGTCACTGGTATAGAGGGTTGAACAGCAGGGATGAAAAATCACCTTGCCAGGCTGTGTGTGGAAGTGGACAGCAGGGTGAGACAAATGAGTGCAGACAAGAGTACAGCCAGCGAGAGGCAGAACATCTGCTGGGGGTATGCTGCTCTGCAACACTGCAGAGCTGAGCCTGAGTTTGCAAAACAGGCAAGGAACTTCTTGTAAACACAAATTCCAGCAATTAACTGCAGCTATTTATGAGATTCTTTGTTCATGCAAAATTGCGAAGACAGTAACACAGCTTCAGTGTTGTGTGGAGACGGTAGCTAAAATCAGGCTTAGGAAGGCAACAGCATAGAAATGGTGAGAACTAAGGAGACTTTGGGTCTCCAAAGCTATCATTTGTTTGAAAATCAGCTAGTGTTAGTGCCGCATTTTGATTGACTAACATTCTCCTGTTATGAAATAATTCAAAATAATGTGCTTGAGTCCCAGAAGGGGAGAGCCACGGCAGAAGCATTGTTCTCTTCACAAGGTTTCTGAATGAGCTCAAAAGTCTGCAGGCAACAGCGATGGGGGCAGGGGCGGGGGGGGGGGGGAGGCACAGCATCCCTTCTGCCTAGGGCACCTAGGGACTCCATTTGTTTTCATTTCCACTAATGAAAACAAATAGAGGCCGTCAGCTCTGAGGAAAAGAGACACTCTGCCTCTTATAAAGGAGCAGAGTATGCTCTTCTAGAGGGTTGTGATGGGCAAGCCCATTAGCATGGAACATTTAAATAATTGGGAGAATTTCCAGGAGAATCCGCAGAAATGCTGGCCCATGGCCACTTATATGCTTCTATGTACTATGTAGCTTCTCTATCATTTGCTTACACACACACACTCACACGAAGCATACTGAAAAACAGATAAGACAAAGAACAATTTCTGCTTTCTGCTTCACCATTTCTCCACAATTATTGTTGTTTATGCTCCCATTTAAAAATATTTATTTATTTGAAAGAGTGACAGAAAAGGAGACAGAGAGGGAGGTCTTCTATCCACTGGTTTGCTCCCTAAGTGGCTGCAATGGCCAGGACTGAGCCAGGATAAAGCCAGGAGCTTCATCTGAGTCCCCCACATGGGTGGCAGGAAGTCAAGTACATGGATCATCTCTGCTGCTTTCCCCAGGCCATTAGCATTGAGCTGGATTGGAAGTGGAGCAGCTGGGACACAAACCAGTACCCATATGGGATGCTGGAATTGCAGGTGGCAGCTTTATCTGCTACGCCACAGTGCTGACTTGTTTCCATTTCTCTCTGTCTCTCTGTCTCTCTCTCTCTCACTGTCCACTCTGCCTGTCAAAAAAAATTAAAACAAGAGAGAATATTCTTCAGATCATAAAGACGCCTAAAATTTGATGGAGTTGAGTATACCTATAATATTATGTTGGGCAGTTGCAAATAGCAATCCACTTTGTTTCAACCATAGAACAAATTTATAGTATAGTTAATGGTATTAGGTAACTCAAATAAATATTTCCTAGAGAAATTAACAAAATCATATCCTGGGAATGGCCTAAAAAAATGACCCCTGCTTCCTCTGCCAATCACTAATTGCCAAAAATTTGATTGTATCGAAACCATTGCTGCTGTCACTGGTAATGCTACTTCTGCATCAAGTACTCAAGTCTACAAATGCCTTGGCTTTGTCTGTGCTGGCACAGAGACTACATGCCAAGACTGTTTCCTTTTTTGTTTATTTCTAAATTTAATTCTCTTGTAGATATAGCAAATTCATGGATCCTAAGTCATGTTGCTTGCTACCAAGGAACCTGGGTATTTGAATTCAGACTTCAACACTACAGAGGAAGAGCTCACAAGGTAGAGATTTCTTCAAATGTAGAAAAGCTTTTCAAAAAATGGTGAGAAGATATGATTATCTATATCCCTCTCTGGCATTTCCATTTGCATGCTACCTCTTTAACCTATCATTTCACAAGCTAGATTGCATACTATTTTTCGCAACATTTTTATCCTTGAGTATGTCCATGCATAACCTCATTCCAAAATCTGAGCTGCATTCATTGGGGTAAAGTTCACTGCTGAAACCTAAACATTCACTTTTTAGTTGCCCAGCAGTGCTATACTATTCAAACACATAATGATTGGTGACAATTTATAACTTTGTTGTCCTGTACCAATCTTCCTTTTCTTGTTGAGGCTTTCGGAGACACCATCAACACCTTTGCTCTCATTTCCCATACCCACATCTTCTCTGGTGTTATCCTCACTGACTGGATCTAGGTGTCTCAGCTATGGCTTCATATGTCTAAAAGTCTTTGCTAGATGAACTTGTAGATGGAATAGAGCATCTGTTTCAGAAGTAGATCAATACTGGAGAACAACAACAACAAAATTCCAAACTCAACCCTGTGAAAGGAAAAAAATATCTTTACAATGTGTTGGGTACTGAATGATGGATTAGGGGTTGGGAGATAAATAATAGAGTTGCTGCCTTCGAGAGTGGTATGAATGTTTCTAGTGAGGGAGGTAGACCTACACAGCCTGAAATAAGAGCAAGGGGGCAGCTAGGAAGCTTCCAACGTCTGCATGTACAGCTTGAAAGTATGTGAAGCAGGGGGAAGCAATATTTGGGATCATAGTTTGTACATATGAGGAATCTCTTGTGTTTCTGCCCATGTCTTTCAGTTCAAATTGTTTGCATAGATGCAGCAAATGCAATGCATTGAAATGTTAACATTCATGGCATCTGGATGAGGGTGCATGGGGATTCTTGGTACTATTCTAGCAAATTTTATGCAAGTCTGGAAGCATGTCGATATACAAGTTTGAAACAGAATAGAAAGTAATTCATCAATTATGACTTCGTAAATAAACTATGCTCTTCTAATACCTGTCTCTGCCTGGTTTAGAGGCAAGGTATCTGTATCTACACCAAGTCTCACTCTACTATTTGACACATTCTTGACTTTCTTACTGTATATAGATGAAATAGCAAGCTGAACTCTTAATTTGGGATTAATTTCCACCAACAAGAACAAAAGTGTGCTTTAAATGAGTATTCTAGGAACTCTGGAAGGAAAGGTTCTTGGTGTTTCTAAAAGTGAAAATTGGAAATAGAAATAAAATTACCCTAGATTTTCTTAGATCATATTCTTAAACATTCAGAGAGAATGTGGTTACACTCTCATGTTCAGGGTGTCTAAATGATGTTCAAGACACAATAGGGGTTCTAGAGATTCATACAATATAGCAAGAAATGAGATGAAAGGGAGACTTTAAAAAAGGAGGAATCTAAAGAAAGCAACATGTCTACACAGTGGTCCTCTGATGGGACCAAAAGATGAAAGAAAAAGAAAAAAACCAAAAGGAAATATAGGAGACTGGTACCAATTTAAGTTTCATTTTTATATTTCATAATGTCTAATACACAACACTGTAGGGTGGAAAAAGGGCATAAAAATTCAAAAGGCACCTGCTCAGTCATCACAACAGGACAGTGATATGATTGACAGAAAAATACCAACATATACTGTTATAGAAGATATAAAGTTTCTTCAGTGGCAAAAGACATGAAAAATTATGGAGATATATTTAGAAATGGGCATTAATAACATCATTCTCCCTACTAGAAGAATGTTCCAGGTCTCCCAAAGTTTTCCGGAGATGTAGAACTGAGGAGGACGTGGCATTAGAAAGTCTCCTTATTCAAGTTTATACTCTCCTAGCCACCTATTGCTTGACTTTTGAGAGTGTGGGTGCTACCAGGTGCAAATAACTAAATAAAAATCCTAGCACACATTTGAGTGTCTACATTAAGACCTGAAAAACCCAAGGTCAGTTTCCCCAAATAATCCCTAAGGACTTAGGTTTCAGACTTGTCTCCTTTGATCCATACCCTGACCTATGATTTGATATTTTCCAGCATGAAATTGCTACATTTATGACTGTGATGTGTGGATGTTTGACATTTCAGGCAGAGCACAATAACTTCTTTGTTTAAGAAAAAGAGATTTATTTATTTATTTGAAAGGTAGAGTTACAGAGACGGAGATGCAGAGGTAGAGAGAGAGATCTTCCATCTGCTGGTTCCCTCTGCAAATGGCTGCAACAACTAGGGCTGGACCAGGCCAAAGCCAGGAGCCAGGCACTTCATCAGGTTCTTGGTCCATCTTCCACTGCTTTCCCAGGTGCATTAGCAGGGAGATGGATTGGAAGTGGAGCAGCCAGGACTCAAACTGGCACCCATACGGGATGCTGGCACTGAGGGCAGCAGCTTAACTCATTGCACCACAGTACCTGCTCCCACAGTAACTTCTTGAACAATAAAATAGACAACCCTATTGGAAAATTAAATAATGAATTAATGATGACTTTTTCTTTAACTGTATAGTTTTTTAAACCTGCCCATTTTTTAGAAGTAAGCATTTTATTTAAGAATCCCTTCCATTTTTGTGAGAAACTGACTCACATTGGCTTGACTTTTTCCTGTGTCAAATTATGTTTCCTTTTCAGCATTATAATGAGGTTATGACCTTATATAACATTTCAATTAACTTTACAAATTATTGTCATTTTATTTGGAGGCACAGATTATCGATATTCATCCACTAGTAGCCCTCTTTTTAGGACAGTGGTTCTCAACATGAGCTATGTTTAGAGACATGTTTTGTTGCCACAACTTGAGGGGCAATGCTATTGACAACTAGTGATTAGAGGCCAGGGATGCTTCTAAACATTTTACAATGCCTAGGACTGCCCTGCCCCCCAACAAAGAACTGTCCAACCCCAAATGTGTGCAGATGAGGAATCCTGCTGTTGGGCTAACCACTGTGTCCCGTTAACACTACCTGTACTCAACTGGGAGGCAGCAGTGATGGCTCAAGTAGTTAGGTCCCTGACACCCATGTGGGAGACCCAGATTGAGTTCCCGGCTTCCAGGATTAGCCCAGCCTAGCCTCTGCTGTTGCAAGTATTTGCGGAGTGTGCTAGCAGTTGGAATTCTCTCTCTCTCTCTCTCTCTCTCTCTCCATCAAATAAATAAATAAGAAAAAGAAAAGCCTTGCAGAATTAATTTAACTGTTCTGGATTCTTCTTTCTGGTATGCCTTGAGAACTTTTTCCTTTCACTTTTTCCAAGTGGCACTGGTTTCCAGGTGGGTGTCCATGACAATCATGTTTAAACCATTAAATACCTCCTGACCAGCCTCTTTGCAACCAAACACTTATTTTTCAACTAGACATTTCAAAAAGAAATCATTTCTTGTACTTCCTTATCAATGAACGTTTTATACTCCGTAGAGACTCTTCAGATTTCTACTCAAAGAGTACCTGGTCCAATGAGAGTGGCTATGTATGAATGCAATGTTTAAAACTCAATTGGTTGGCCGGCGCCGCGGCTCACTAGGCTAATCCTCCGCTTTGCGGCGCCGGCACACCGGGCTCTAGTCCTGGTCGGGGTGCCGGATTCTGTCCTGGTTGCCCCTCTTCCAGGCCAGCTCTCTGCTGTGGCCAGGGAGTGCAGTGGAGAATGGCTCTAGTACTTGGGCCCTGCACCCCATGGGAGACCAGGATGAGTACCTGGCTCCTGCCATCGGATCAGCGCGGTGCGCCGGCTGCGGCGGCCATTGGAGGGTGAACCAACGGTAAAGGAAGACCTTTCTCTCTGTCTCTCTCTCTCTCACTATCCACTCTGCCTGTCAAAAAATTAAAAAAAAAAACTCAATTGGTTTATATAAGGTCAGAATCGATAGTCAAGGAAAAGGTTTAGTACACAAAGTTTAAAACATAGTAACTCATAATTAAAACTCTAATGTGGGTAGCTATTCTTTTCAAAAATATACTAGAGAGAGAGCATGCTCCCATCCGCTGGTTTACTCTGCAAATGCCTACAGTGGCTAGGGCTGGGCTGGACCAAAGTGAGAAGCCAGAAACCCAGTCCAGATCACCCAGATGGGTGGCAGGACCCCAATCACTTGAGCCATCATCACTGACTATCAAGGTTTGCATTGGGAGGAAATTGAAGTCAGGAGCTGGAGCTGGGAACTGAACCCAGATACTCCAATGTGGGAGGCAGGTTTCTTAACCACTAGGCTAAAGGCCCATATTCAACACAATTATTCTTTATTCCTCCTTTTCAGGTAATATCAGTGAAGATTGAGCTTTACTGAATTATATCATTATCATCACCACTTCTTCCCACATTTAAAACTTATTTCTTAAATTCTTATTGTAAAAATCTCCTGCCTCTGAAAAAATCTAAAACAAAGGCAAATAATTTTTTGGCATAGTTTGCACTCACCCTGTCCACATCTATAAATGCCAGACACTTCCAACTTCTGCCAAAAAACAGTTTGAGTTTCCATTTCTGTAACAACTTAGACTGGATGTTATAATTTCATTTTTATTGTGATAACTCAGGTATCTTTGGCTTAAAGTAACAGAAGTAACCAGAAAATTATAACTGTGACCATTTCCAATATTCAATCCAGAATGTTGAACTATGTGGAATCAAGGAGCCAGCTGACATACTTCACTGACACAATTCTTCTTTCATTCTCCTCCCTCCCTCTCTTCCTTTCTGTCCTCCCTCCATTCCTTTCCTCCCCCTCCTCCTCCTCCTCCTCATTGTTATTATTATTATTATTTTAAAACTAAGGTGGTCCACTTATTACTTTTGCGTTCTGGTAGTAGTAAAGCCTCTATGGTTTCTCCAGTTCTCCTCAACACAGCTATCACAGGTATCAGTAGCCAAGGACCTTGTAGAAATTCCATTTAAACAGTGAATTGATGATAGGATTTACAGAAAGACAATAGATGCAGCTGAAAATACTAAGTTTCTATCAAGGTGGCTAAATGAAGTAGAAAATACACAGTTTAACCCCAAAAGTTCCACACATGAACATTCAGCTGTGGATGACACAAACAATATGGACCAAGGATTGCACTAGAATAAGAAATTCTTGCCATTCTCATGGATATTCATAGCCTTCTTAAAGCCCTCCACAGGATAAGTGTTTGGCCTAGCAGTTAAGTCACCACATAGAATGGCCATATCCTTCATTGGAGCACCTGGGTTTGGTTCTCAGCTCTGGCTCCTGACTCCTGCTAATGCTGACAATGGGAGGCAGCAGTGATGGCTCAAGTAGTTAGGTCCCTGACACCCATGTGGGAGACCCAGATTGAGTTCCCAGCTTCCAGGATTAGCCCAGCCTAGCCTCTGCTGTTGCAAGTATTTGCGGAGTGTGCTAGCAGTTGGAATTCTCTACCCCCCCATCAAATAAATAAATAAATAAGAAAAAGAAAAGCCTTGCAGAATCAATTTAACTGTTCTGGATTCTTTCTCTACCTTCATACTAGCTTCAAAACAACTATACACCATTCCTAAGCATTTGGTTCAGGTTTAGGTGAAGAGGGGCCAGTTTTTCAAAAGCATCAACTAGCAGTCCCAGGCTTTTGACCTATCTGATGTTCATCCTTGGAGCATCCAAATCCAACTTGTTATCTCACCTTGGAACTCCCTGTCCTTTTTTGTGTCACATACTTATTGAGAGCATCAGACGACAGCCAATCAAGCAAGGGGGAACCTCAGAGCTATCTTTGGCTTCAACTTTTTCCCTTCTGCAATCCAGTCAGACTCCAAATTCTGTAGATTCTTCCTGTGAACTCTCTCTTAAATCCATCCCTTTTTCTCTTTGCTCTTTAACCTTTATCCATCTACATTTCCCAAACCTTGTGTTTTCACTTTCTCTGTGCAGTATTCCAAGGTAAGCTCATATATTCTCCTGAATTAAAATGCCATCATTTTGCTGATGAGTCATAATTTTATCTCTAGCCAGAGGAATTCTTTAAATCTCAGACTCACACATCCCACATATCCAGAAGTCTACTTGATGTTTCCACTTAGATGTCTTAGAGGCATTGCAGACTTAGCATGTCTAAAACAGAACAATTAATTTCTCATTCAAAATGTCTCTCCTCCCACCAGTCTTCCCCATCTCCATATGTGGTTTCACTTTCCACCCAGAAACTCACTTCCAAGAGCGTCATCTTTGAGTCCTCCATCCAATCCAAATAAAAAGTCGTGCTGATGCACCACAAATATCCACATTTCTCCATCCCTGTATTCATTACCTTAGACTAGGCCACCATTGTCTGATCATCACCTTTCACTTAGACTACTGCAACAAACCTAATATGGTCTGCCCCTTTTTATTCTTCCTACTTCCTAATTCATTCTCTATGTGATATCAAGGACACCCTTTCAGGGGTGGGCATGTGGTGCAGCCAATATGGTGACACTTGGAATACCCACATTCCATATTTGAGTGCCTGGTTCAAGTCTCAGCTACTCTGCTTCTGATCTATATTCCTCCTAATGTGTACCCTTGGAAGCAGCATCTGTTGCCTCATGACACCTATATGGAAGACCCAGATTGAAATCCAGATGTTTCGGGTGTTTGGAAATGAGCTTGCAGATGGAAGGTCTCTCTCCATCTGTCTTTCTGTTTCTGTGTCTTTCAAATAAAATGAAAATAAAAGGTTTTTTTTTTGACAGGCAGAGTGGACAGTGAGAGAGAGAGACAGAGAGAAAGGTCTTCCTTTGCCGTTGGTTCACCCTCCAATGGCCGCCGCGGCCAGTGCTCTGCAGCCTGCGCATCGCGCAGATCCGAAGCCAGGAGCCAGGTGCTTCTCCTGGTCTCCCATGTGGGTGCAGGGCCCAAGGACTTGGGCCATCCTCCACTGCACTCCCGGGCCACAGCAGAGAGCTGGCCTGGAAGAGGGGCAACCAGGGACAGAATCCGGCGCCCAAACCGGGACTAGAACCCGGTGTGCTGGCGCCACAAGGCTGAGGATTAGCCTAGTGAGCCGCGGCGCCGGCAAGAAAACTCTTCTAACAGATAACTTGAAGAGCTGGCACTTAGCTTAGCAATTGGGATGCCTATATCCCAGAATGGATTGAATTCAGTTCCCAGTTTTGGCTCCTGATTCAGGCTTGCTGCCAATATAGACCCTAGGAAACCGCATGTGATGGCTCAGGTAATTAAGTTCCTGCCACTCATGTGGGAAACCTAAATTGAGTTCCTAGCTACTGGCTCCAGCATTATGGGCACTTGGGGAATGAACCAATGATTGGATCCCCTGTCTCTCTGTCTCTCTCTGTCTCTGTCGCTGTCTATCCCTCCCCCCTCCCTCCTTCTCTCTTCTCCCCTTCCCCCTCCCCCTCCTCCTCCCTCTCCAATAATTAATTAAATAAATAATTTTAAAAATATGACCTGGATCATATCATTGTCTAAAACTCCTCAATGGAGCCTTGGTTCACTTTAATGTCTGTATCATAGCCATACAAGACTGAGCCTATCTCTTCAATCTCTTTTCAGATCATCAACTCTCAGTTTGGGTAATGAGCTCTAAGTTATATTGAGTGTCTTAAAATTCCTATAAACTACTAAACTCTTTCCTGCTTCAGAGTTTCAGCAGCTGCTGGCCCATCTGCTTAGAATGCTATTATCAGTATTTGCATGACCAACTTCTTCTCATTTTGTAGGTCTGAGCTCAATTGTTACCTCCCCTAAAAGGCCTTCCTGCCATATTTAAAGTAGGCCAATTTGATTACTCTTTAGTAAAACCGTTTATTTCCTTCATAAGGCATCTTTGTTTCTAATAATTATATTTGTTAGTTTGTTTCCTGTTGTTTTTCCTGCTGCTGTTCTTTGTGTGGTTCCCCGTAGTATTCAGCATATACCTGGAGCTTACACAATTAAATAAACTATTTTACATCTCTTGTTTGCTCAAAAACCTTAGATGTTTTTCAGTTATCTACAAAACAGAGACTAAATTATGTACTGCAAGTTGAATATTCCTTATCTAAAAAGCTTGGGACCAGAAGTGTTTCAGATTTGGGATTTTTCTCAGATTTTGGAATATTTGAATATACATAATGAAATGTCTTAGGGATGAGACTCATGTTTAAATATAAGATTTATCTAAGTTTCATACACAGTTTATACACATAGCCTGAAGATAATTTTATGTAGTATTTCGAGAGTACCTGAGTTTTGTTTTATTTTAACTTTTATTTAATAAATATAAATTTCCAAAGTACAACTTTTGGATTATAGCTAGTTATAGCATTAATTCACATAGTACAACACTTTAAGGATGGAGATTCTACATGGAGAGTAAGTGCACAGTGACTCCTGTTGTTGATTTGACAATTGACACTCTTATTTATGATGTCAGTAATCACCCGAGACTCTTGTCATGAGTTGCCAAGGTTATGGAAGCCCCCTGAGTTCACTGACTCTGATCATATTTAGACAAGGTCATAGTCAAAGTGGAAGTTCTCTCCTCCCTTCAGAAAAAGGTACCTCCTTCTTTGATGGCCCCTTCTTTCCGCTGGGATCTCACTCACAGAGATCTGTTACCTGTGGTCAGGTATGGAATTTTTCCACTTTTGGTATGAGGTTTGTGATCCAAAATTTTTGGATTTTGAAACATTTTGGATTCTGGGTTTTTGAATTATGGATGCTCAACCTATATGACATTAACGACGTAATAACATGAATGCTATCCATGTTTTCAGCATCTTTCATACCTCACACAATTCATTGTGCATCAGTTAGTATCATATTCTGTCTTGAATAATGGAAAATTCCATATGCAGTAGTAAGAGTATTCTTATTTTCTTATAACAAAAACCTGAAAATAAGTATTTATAGCAGGTGTGGTGGCTCAGCAGAGCCACAGAGAATAGGGAACACGGGCTACTTTTGTCTTATTGCTATGCCACTCACACTATGTGGCTTTTGTTTTCATGGTTGCAAATGGGTTGCTGAATCTCCAAGTGTTACATTCCAGGAGAGAAAACAGTCTTCTTTTTTTTTAATGGCTGTTTTCTGTTTATTCAGGAAAAGAGATTTTTCCAGAAAATTGTACCTATAATCTTTGGCTAGAACTGTGTCACATGACCACCTCTCACTATAAGGGAGACTAGAGGATTGAGTATTTTAGCTGGACATATTGTGTCCTGGACAAAACCATAAACTTATGAGTAAGGAGGATGGGGAACTGGATATCACATAGGGGCTATCAGTATCTATCTCACCATGCTTCATTATGTTCTCTAGCTGTACTAGACTATTTTTCATAGTTCTCTGAAAATACTATGTAATTCAACAAAGCTTTTTTCTCTTTCCTGCTGCTGTTATCTCTATTTGAAATGCCTTTCTCTTGTTTCTCAGCCTAAAAAATTCTGCTCATCCCTCAAGGCCAACGTTGGATGCCTCCTATCTGATATTTCTTTGTGAGGTAGGAATAATGTTCCTTGAAGTCCAGGGTGGTGGTAAAAAAAACAATGATTTTGTTTGATGCTCCTGTCGTCAGCATTTAAAGAAATGTCCAAAAAATTGTAAATAAATCAAAATTAAAATATGGTAAATAATCAGAGAGAAGAAATCCAAGAGGAGATGTTTTTCTTTTAATCTCCACAATAATCACAAAAGGAAGCTATGACTCTTGTTTCACAGATAAGGAAACTAAGCCTCAGAGCAGTAAAGTAACTTGCTCTGGCCATATAGCTAATAATATGGTCCTGGTAATTTAAATCACTTTTGCCTTCATAATCACCTCCCTACAACATTATTATTAATTTTTAAAATCCAGGGCTCAGCAATGTAAGGTCGTGAGGCAGGCCTCTTATTCCTGGAAAGTCTTATTGGATTACAGTCATGTTTGTTCTTTTATGTCTTATCTGTGCTGCTTTTGCACACTACAACAAAAGAGTTGAGTCACTAAGACAAAGACCATAATAGGAAATATCAAAACGTTCATGGATATTGGAATTAAAGGATAAGTTTATTTTGGTGCAAAAGAATTTTGAAATCCATGCATACAAGGGTCTTCAAAGAGTTCATGAAAAACATATATTATAGCAAATCTGTGCATGGATTTCAGACTTTTTTGCATCAAAATAAACTTATTTTTTAATTCCACTTTCTACTAACTTTCTGAAGTACCTGCATATAGTCCATGAAGCTTAAAGAATTTACTATATGGCTCCTTACAGAAAAAGTTCACTGATCTCTGGGCTATACCATGAAGTAAACTGAAAGATCAATACCATAAAAAAGAAATTTAAAGTTATTTTACAGCATTATTATGGAGAAGAAAAGATGATCTCTACTTCATAAAGATTTAGCATTACAAAATGGAAGGAAAAGGGAATTCAGAACTTCTGACTTTGTATGTGTGGCCAACAAGAAAGAGAATTAGAATTCAAAAGAATTGAGATGAAAGAAAGAATTGATTAACCATTACAGGAATAATTTTTACTTAAGGGGGCTTCTGTAAAGATGGAATGAGCTAAGATGTGAGATAAGACACAATGCTTGATATACAATTGAGACTCAATAAGCATTGAAGACCTAGTAAACTCCAGAGAGGCCCCATCTTCATCAGGTATTGTTTCTGGACTGCTTTTCTGGGTTATGGGAAGTAAGAAAGGCCATTTATACTGTTTCAAGTCCAGAATTCCATAAGGTTGGAAAATCACCCTGATCTATCTTTGTTTCATTTTCTCCAGAGAACCATTCCCATATCTTGAAGGAAATTGCAATCTCAAGTACAAAAGCAATTGAATCTAATCTAACTTTTTCTCTTGTCAGTCTGGCCCAAACAACCCCATTTGTTATCGTCATTGCTCTCACATTGGAGGAGCCAGTACAGGGGAGACAGGATGGGAGTAAGAGTCTCAGGGCAACATCAACGAAGTCCGGAACAGTGCTTATCGGAATCCTCTCAAAATTCTTTGGAGGAAAGCTCTCCAAATGCATGAGAGAAGGGAAATTCCTGCCTACTTACAGCTTTTCCTAACCTCAGTGTGCAATCCAGCTGGGTCCTAATAACAATAGAGTTGTCTCATTGAAGGCTTTTACACTTACCAGAGGCTATATTACTAATGATCATAGAAACAGGGCAAATTGTGATGTAGAAGAGGTGTGCAGGAAAGAAGCAATAGGCATCTGGATGAAAGGAGCAAAACATCCCAGGCAAATTGCCTGTGACTGCCCTACCAGGAATATCTTATTTACAACAGGAGTTTTTGGCTTTTAGAGAGCTGAACCTGAATGTATATTTCTGTGGTGGCTTGTTTTATAGCACAAGTTGAGTTCTGGAGAGATGTTATGGAGCCAAGTCTTCTTCTATATTCTTAATGATTATAAAGTATCCGGATTTACTGCATGAAAAATGAAGGTTATAAAAGCAGAATGGTACATGCTATATAAAAGCTGCTATTTGTTCCTCTCTAATAAAACACAGTGTAACTATGGCAATATTCAGTCAAAAGTTGTAGTTGGAGAGCAACAATAAATAAAATGCCCCTTAATAATGCAGTTAAACAAGAGATGTTCCATCATTAAGTTTTGCTTAACTATACTGCACTGTTATACCCAGGGTAACCAAGAGCAGCAAACCCCATGTACATGGCAATTCTCAAAGATTCTGGAATTCCCTCTTATTGATGGGAATGATTCTGACAACCCTGCAAATGCTAATGGTTAAGACATCAAAATAAAATCCAGCATTTAAAGAGACATGAGGGCCTTACCATTGATAGACCCACTTTTGCTTCTGCTGAGTATTGCAGGAATCCATAAAGTAGCCATATTTTTTTCTTTCTGCCTCTTGACTGCACACCCTTGATTGCATATACTCTTAAAACTCAGGAAATATTGCTATTAGCAGCTACCAAAGCTATCTGCAACACACTATGGGACATATATTGATAAGCTTTTGCTAACTCATTGTAGCTGATAAATATCACTTCTCCTTGCAGTCCCATATTCTGAAGTGTGTATTCTGTTTCTATAGCAACTTTCATTTTGTTAACCTGTTACTCACATTAAAAGTCTGATATTTTTAGCATAACATTTCCAAAAGTCTTTGACAATGAAAAATGGGGAGCAGTTGCAGCTTGGAGATGAATGTAATGCCTAACATGAATTCTAATATATTGCATAGTTGGTCAGTACATCATCTATGGTGAGGTTGTAGAAGTATAGATTTTTTAAAATGTGTATGTGTATGAACTATACAGAAAAAATGCCATTACCCATATCCATTTTTGGAACAAGGTAGAGTGTGAATAGATAACAGTATACAAACGGGTTTATTTTCTACAGATTTCCACTGAAATAAAATCCAAGTAAAGGTATATCTTACTGAGTTTGTGTATGTGTTAGTGCTTTTGTTGTTGGATTGCAGCTGTAATATTAGGACATGAGGAGCTAATGGAATGAATTGTAAACATGAAAAAGCTAAGTAAAAAGAAACAATTGTGGGGAAGGCAGTTCTGTAGATATGTGAAACTCATAATGAACTATGACAATGCCTCCCCTTTGACCTTCCAACAAATTGTCTCCTCTTTTGCTAAAATATTGTCTTATATTTCTCTTCCCTGTCAAAAGTGAAGACCAGTATAGTTTGATATAACATGGCTGAGAAAGAACCACATTACACTTGCTGCCTGATTTATTCCTTTGGATTTGTAGAGAGAACATTGTCCTTTATTTATTAGAAATGATCCTGGAAATTAAATTCAGCTTGAATTGTAGATGGGAACAATTATTTCCTAATGTTGTAACTAATATTCTTTAATGATCAGAAAGCCAGTATACTGGAGTGGATGAGAGCCTGGCTTCTGGAATCAGACTGCCTGTGTTTGAATGGCAGCCTTATTACTAAATGTGCAACTTTTGGCAATTTACTTATCTATGCCATACCTCAGTTTCTTCATTTGTAGAACAGGGATGATAATAGAGCCTACCAGAGGACTACTGTGAAAATTAAATTATTTATACATTTAAAATGTTTAAAAGAGTGCCTTCGTTATAAGCAGTATCCTCATTTTTATACCTTAACTTCAAGCAGTATAGCTGTCCTTCACTGGATTGAAGAGAGACACATGTACACACACAACTGTCCTTTTATGGACTGGCTGATATAGTTGGGTGCAAACTAATGTGTATAGTAGAAATGCAAGGGTACATCAAAAAGTTCATGGAATTAAAGGTTATATTTATTTGGGTGCAAAAATTTTGAAATCAAGCACAGTGTTTTCAAAATACACAGTTTTAACAAACTTTTTGAAGACCCCTTTAATGCATAGATTAAAAATTTTTGGCACCCAAATAAATATATGTTTTAATTTTACTTTTTCCACAAACGTGAAGTTCCCCTTGAATGTAAGAGTGGTTCATTGTTTTCATTGATGAATACTATTCCATTCTATGAGCAAGCTATAAATTTATAATTCAATTTTAAGTTTTTCCAAAGGTGCAATGGGCCTTTTTTTTTCCTTGCTCCAATTATATAACAATTCTAAACCAGTTAAGGATCATATGAATCTCAAACATAGAAGAGGTACATGATGTTACTTGACATAATGGAGAATCCTAAAAGTTCAAGTAAATAGTTTCATGATACAATCTGTGAAATATTCTCTATGGTTCTGGTGGAGAAGGAAACGAGGGGGAGGATTAGAAAAAAAGAGGGGGGTTAGAAAAAAGAGGGGGAGGACTAGAAAAAAAGAGAGGGGGATTAGAAAAGTAATCTTAGACACAAATTCTATTTCTGGGGATATTGTTAATTTGTAACACAGGAAAAATACTATAAAGCACAAAATGTAGACAAATGTATCTTAATCAAACCCAGCTATAGGCATAAATGTTGTAGCTTTCTCCTTCCCATCAATGCCCCAAAGGACAAACGTGAAGTTTATGGAATGTGTCAAGTGAATGACTTAGATGACCTTCAACTTGAGGGCTCCTGCGGCAAAGCTTGTCTCATTTATCTTTACCCTTTCTCATTTTGGTTCATGGTTCATGACAATTGGTAGATGTTTACAAAATATCTGTTAATGAATGAGAAATGTGCTCTTTGGCAGGAATGCTAACTTGTAAGGTAGTATAAATTCAGCTCATGATCTCTTAAAAGTCCCACCTTTTCATGGCAGATCTGGGACCATGTACAAAATGTCTCGCAGTGCTCTTTTGGCTGCATCATACTGCCTTCCTAAGGCTTCCCAAGTCATAATTTCTCTCAGTCAGCTTTGAGCAGTACACATTGCACACATATATTGAAATATCACACTGTACTTCATAAATATGTATAATTATTACCTGTTAATAAATTTCTTAATGTTTAAGGAAATGCTAACTGCTCTGATTTGATCATTATACACTATATACATATATTGAGGTATCAAACTATACCCCACAAAAATATACAAATAAAATATTAATAATGACAGTTTTCTGTTGCCAAGGAAAGAGGGGTGGAGAAAGAAACATTTTCAATAACTGCTTTCCATTATTCACCTCAAGTTTTTTGAGTACCTATGTCAATCTGTTTTCTAAGAAGTACTTTTCCCATTAATGATTTTAAGTTATTGCATATTTTAGAAAGTAAGGCTGAATATTATAACTCTTTTAACCTTAAAGTCATAGACTCATAAAAAAATCAACCTTCTTCCTATTAGGACACTTTCCAATACTGTCAAAATATGGATGCCATTATAAGAGAAAATATATGAAGAAAAATTTCTTAATTATCTCTGGGTAAAGGCTAATTACTACCATGAATAAGATTAGGGTTTTAAGTATAAAATTTTGATACTTGCTAAATTTTTCTGAGCTTGATTTTCATGACCAGTGAGTATCAGCAAATTTAGGTCTACTAATGTGAGTATAGCAGGTGGAGAAAGGAATGTTTCTGATTCAAGTTACCTATAAAGGGGCCAGTTACTCTGCTTTTTCTTTTCAACTGAGCTGTAATTATCATCATCTGGTCTCAAAAGATTCAGGTACTTACCTATGGGCATATCTGGAGGGGATAATTAATTAAAAGTCTAAAAATAACAAAGATTAATGGAGAAAAACTGAATGTACACCAAGGGTAAAAAACTATACAGAATTAACTTTAACATAAGCACATACAACAAATTTTAAATAATTGGGAGTATAAATATGGCATTTAAGTGAAAATTTGTTCTTCCTTTCTTCCCACTTTATTCCAAAATGGACTTACCATATTAGTCACAAAGGATGGAAAGATTTTTGGCCAGAATTCTGAACATTTAAATCCTCAACCAACTTTTTTTTTTAACTTTTATTTAACAAATATAAATTTCCAAAGTACAGCTTATGGATTACAATGGCTTCCCCCCCATAACGTCCCTCCCACCCGCAACCCTCCCCGCTCCCGCTCCCTCTCCCCTTCCATTCACATCAAGATTCATTTTCAATTATCTTTAAATACAGAAGATGGATTTAGGATATATTAAGTAAAGATTTCAACAGTTTGCACCCACACAGAAACACAAAGTGTAAAGTACTGTTTGAGTACTAGTTATAGCATTCACATTGAACAACACATTAAGGACAGAGATCCTACATGGGGAGTAAGTGCACAGTGACTCCTGTTGTTGACTTAACAAATTGATACTCTTGTTTATGGCATCAGTAATCTCCCTAGGCTCTTGTCATGAGTTGCCAAGGCTATGGAAGCCTTTTGAGTTTGCCAACTCCGATCTTATTTAGACA